CCCGAAAAGCGTGTCAAATGACCAGAAAGCGCGTATTCACTGAGGTAAGGAACAGTAAAGGATGAAGGCGTTGACGTTGTGTGTGTTCAGTTACAGCGGACCCTGCGGTTATAGATGGATACGTAGTAATAGTTGCAGCCGTCAATGATCAGCTCACAGCCTCTAGGGACGTTGATGTGGTATGCATTGTTGGCTTCTTTAACGCCGAATCTGAAAAGCAGAGAAATAAAACTGTATTTGTTAAAAAAAACCCACAACAAAACCAAACAACAACACGACATAACAGCTATCATTCTCCCTGATTTATATGTAAATGGTGTCTAAAAAAACAGGAACCCCTTAAAGGGCAATAGCTCAATCATCTCTGCACCAATTCCGACAAAACTTCGCACAAACCAAAGTCAACGGTGATCACATTGATTCCGTAAATATAAGATAAGAGAAGATAAGATAAGATAGTACTTTATTATCCCAGAGGGAAATTTTCCTTGGCTGTACAGGACCGTAAAAACACATGCAGGTATACATAAAAAATTTAAATTATATATTATATTATATTACTTTCATTAAAATGCAATATGAAAGAAGAAGTGAAGCTGACAAAATGTACATTTACATCAAATGCATCATTCAACCACATGCAGAAATTTAAATACTAGACCTTTGGAGTTATATGCAGATACATACTCTAAGAGCATATGAAGAGAATTAATCAAAGTGTTCGAGAAATAAATCTATCAAGTTTAACACATTTCAACCAAATTCGGCGAAACGCAAAATGCTACTTCTTAAAAGCGTCCAGCTACAGGTGCGTGATCGGCACGTTTTGGTTAGAGGACAAAGACTAGAATCTAAAACCACGACAGTCACATCAGATGAAAATCTCACTGTGCTGAGAAAGTTTTGTAAAAGCTTGGGGAGGGGGTATTATGCTGTAGAGGCCTGGTTCTAGTAAGATGGGTCCACACCCCACACGCCAAGAGTGACTCTTGTGTAGTTGTAAGAAAGGTTTAGTAGGGAACGCCTTATAAGCCGAAAGTTGACAAATGAATGGTCACTACTTTCTCCCTAACTTGAGCTTTTTTAGCTATTGCCTTTGGGTTTTCTATGGACAGAGTCTACGGAAACAACCCATAGGCAATCAAGCAGATAAAACTAAATTATGTTAAACATACCGTCCAAAGAATCACACAGAAACACGCCATGGGGCCATTCAAAATTCCCGGTAACATACTGAAGCTTGTAACTAGAGAAATGGTCAACACTTGAATATTTAAATTGCCACCCCGTCCAGGGTTGTTTTTTTTGTTTGTTTTTTTTTGCAACATTATTTTTGTTTATTTTTTTCTTCACTGTACAAATAGTGACTATTTGAAACGGAACAACGTGGTTGATTTTTTAGAATTTTCAAAGTAATGCGTTTCTCTCAATTCTAATTAGAAGTTTAAAGACTTATTATTTTTCGAATACTTTGATTGATTTTCTATTTGCAGACGTGATGTCCTCGAGGTTGAATTTTGTTTTTTCAAAGTTATTTTGAAATTCATCCAAAGACACCCGAGTCTTTGCCCTTTAAATGGGTCCCTTTTTTAAACACCCGACATAATTTGATACCTAAAGCAATAAACGTCAGCAAAAGGCACCATATAAATAATGAACAGTGGAGCATTAAAACTGTGTAAACGTAGTAAGAAGGCAAAATTGAAACGACTACTTGTGAAATTAAGTCAAACTTGATGCTAACCTGATTATCCAAAGAGTTACCCTCGATTCAGTGCGAGTAACGTCATTGGGGTATAAAACAAAATGCGTTATGAATGTGGATCATGATTTACCCTACTTGTGAAATTTCCAATAGATTTTTAATTGTAATAACTTGCTGACAAATCGTGGTGCACGGTAGATGACATTTAAAATCTTCTATAAAACCTGACATGGGTTTGTGTAAAAGTAAAACCCACCATGCTATGTCAGATGGTGACTCAAAAATACATGATGAAAGATTTTGAATTAATAAATGAAATAAATATGCTAATAAACAAATAAACAACAACAACAAAGATTTTGAATAAATAAATAAATACATATGCTAATAAACAAATAAACAACAACATCAAAAATAATATAATAAAATATGTGTTTTAAAGTCAGTTTATATAATTATTTTCTCACTTGACACTCCTCAAATAAAATTTCTTGCAGTACTTACAAGAAATCCGGCCCAAATCCATTTGGAACGTAATATTTAGGAATAGTTAAACTTCGGTGTTCTTTTTTCTGGTGAAACGACTTTTTTTTTTCGTGGAAGGGCCTACCTTAGACCACTTTTCATCATTCTAAACCTCTACAGCAAAAAGGACTTTGTCGAACTATTTCGCCCGTTTGCCAA